CAAGAATTTATTAACCAATGTCTATCACAAGGAAATGAATTTTAAATTATAAAAATTAAAATCAACATGAATTCTACCAAAGCGCAGATATAGCCAAAAGAAGTGTTTGACCAAAAGACAATTATCTAAATAAATTTGAACAATAACCAATGAGGTAATTACTCAAACAATTTTTCAAAAAAAAATTACAATTAAGATTAAAAATTTACATTATTTCTAACAATTCCCAAATATCAACAATAGTTAATCCTAATAAACAAACTTAATTAAAGGTTAAAGAATAAACAATTCTAACTAAGGTTGAAAAATTCCAATCAAGAATCACCATTATTGCTTCCTAAACATGAAATTAAGAATTCAATGAAATTCAATGAAGGGAATGGGTTCTTGTGGTTCGAACTCAATATCCAGTTGCAAAAAATTAACCTCGTATCATGAAAAATCAATCAGAGTATCATATTATGATAAAATATTAACAATAAAATGATATCTTTCTTGAGTATAAGTGCCTATTAGTACTTTGAATGGTCATCCCTAATTTCCAAATAATAGAGTAGTCGGATTTATTTGTACCTTGAAGCAGAGTGGATGCTTCTAATGATGAACACATAAAGCCCGTGAAAAATACACCATGTCTTATTCGTACCAAATTCGACTAGAGGTAGACGAAATGCTTCTATAGTTCTATTAATGAATTCGTCTAGTCAAGAAAAAAATGAAAAAGACAGTAATTTTTGGAACTGGAATGCTTTGTGCATTAATCAAGAAGAGATTAAGTGGGTTTGGATTTAGGGCTAGGACTTGGACTGCATTTTTTTACATGGACTGCAACTTTTATTGACATGGGCTAGGTATGAAAAATAAATAAATAAATAATATCATTTGGTTCCACTCCTGCTTGAGTCTGATTAATTTCATCTAGTCATTTATTAGGACAGGACATTGTTTCTGAAAAATCTTGCACCTTAATATTTACCAGTACCCTCTGGTGGAAACTTCTCTGAAGAACTTGGCATCTGTCAAGCTTATCGTTTATTTTGTGTAGCATAACATGTATAGGACTGAAATTTGTTAGATTAGAATTCGTTTAACCGTTTAAATATCAGTTCCATTATGCAAAAGTTTTCAGGTTGAGGAAAAACCTGATAACAATGAAATATGAGCTAACATTGCTAACAGTCTTCGGTTTGCAAACAGGTATATTTAGCTAGTAAATGAGAAGTCTTACAGTGATGCAGCAGGAAGCATTTTTGCTTCAAGGAGTATGCAATAGTATCTGATAACAAAGCTGTCAAAAATCGTGTTTTGGATTTAATAATGTAAAGAAATCAATAAATACTTGATACAGAGGAACAAAATTCCCTCCTCTTGAATCATATGATCATGGAGTCTCACTGAGAAGAATATGACACTGCACTATGCACCAGAATGAATCATTTAATCTAGGATCTATACATCAAAAGTTACAACTTCCCCCACTTTCATATCAATACATGATATTTTTGTTTCAATTTGATATTGTTCCAATATCTCTACTTCTGATGCTCGTGTCATATTCAGTCTTGGGTCTGCTTTAGTGCCCTTTGACGGCCTTCCAATAATGGTAAACAGGAAACAATACAAACTTCAAAGAGTGCTCCTCGTATCTATGAAATTAAGATTATGTACACTTGTTAGTTTGGTTATTCAATTGCTTAATTTCAATGATTTGATTGATAAATGTGCTTTTACCAAATCAATAAAATACACTTGTTTATGTTTCCAAAATTGTGTATCTGATACAACACTGTTCTCAGATTCTCATGTCAAACAAATGGTTTTCTAGATATAAGGACTCTTCAGGGAGGGCGGGGGTGGGGATTAATTTTGCAACTCTATTTGTGATAAAGGAAAATTTTGATACCCAAGTTAATGGGACGAGGTACACAAAATTTGCAACATTTTCTGCTGACAGAATTATATTTCCATCTTCTACAACCTTCCTTCCTCTGATTCTTTAACAGGCTAACCATCGGTTTGGAACAAATGTGCAAAGGCGTATTTATGGTCATGCAACGGATGTTGCAATTCGTCCTCTAAATGAAGAAAAAGCCGTTCAGGCTGCTGCAGACCTTTTAGGCGAACTCTTTGTGTTTTCGGTATTGTCATCACTTTAACTTTTAAATTAGAATTTTTCATTAGTTTTTATTTGTTAGTGTAACTAGAATATGCATCTACAGTACATCCAATTTGTAAGATGGTTTGAATTCTGGCATGTCGGTTTTCTATTCAATTGCAGATGGCTGTAGCCATAGACGTCACCATTGCAAGTGTAGACAATATTTCATTGTCCTGATCCATCTTCACGCTTTAAAATTTAGAATTTTAATGTACCATAGCGAACGACTGCTTGCCTATTATTTCAATAAAGGAATAAGCAGAGTTTCTGTTTATTAAAGTTCTATTGTACTTTTTTTAATTTCAACATAGATAATATGTTTGTTAACATGAAAATCTAATAGCAGATTTAGATTAACATGCGTCTTTTGCAGGATTGAGTATGTTTTAGTTTGTCAGTAGGGTGCCTGTGAAACATGGTTCTTACAATGAGATGGAGATGGTTTCAGAAGCTAATTTAAAAATCCTAAACTGGCGCCTCCGTCCTGAACCTTTAACTCTCTTTGCACTTCTATCCCAACCTTTTTTTGTGGCATTATTGCCCCCAAACTTTCATATATTAGTGCCTGTAGTCCCTAGTGATGGTTCCATTCCAAATTTTTCATCAAAGATTGGGGTTAGACTCGGGCATAGAACGAAAAATGGGCCTGTTAACTTCTTGCCTAGTTCACCTACCTTGTTAAATTCGGCCTACAGAACTGGACTAATTAGATTTGCATTCTTTTTTCAGAAAACTTCTTCACTGACCAAAAGTAATCTTCCTCTTCTAATTCTTCAACCTCCAGGCATTAGCATACAGAAGATTGGAGACAGTAATCCAAAGAAACAAATGTGCAATTTATCCATGCTAGAAAGAAACTTACCATTTGCCTCCAGTTAACCCAAATGAATGTGATCTGTATGTTTATTTTAACCCCAATGTTTTTCTAATTGGTGGCTCACAAGCACTGGATCCAGGCATATTTAAAATGGAGTAACTTTTGTGCTATTTTTCATGTTTGCTTGAAGAGGATTAAAACTATTTGGTTCTACGACAAGTGATAGGACATTTGCTGATGCAAGTACATCTTTTTTGGATCTATTCTTTTGATAGTGATCCTTGTCTGAGAGTTTTGGAAAAGACTAGAGATTGCTCATACTTAATTTTTTTTCTCATTCCTTATAATCTCGTGTTTTCTTTCCAAGTATTTGAAATTTTAAATTCACTTTTGCTTTCTGTTTCGATCAGGTTGCAGGAGTTGCCGTTATTTGTGAGATGCAAAATCGTTCCAGAGCAGAAGCCAGAAAAGAGGAACTGCGTAGGAAGGAATTAGAGGTCCATGTTGATAGAATTATTCTACATGTACATCAAGGTGTAAACCCTAGTGGACCAGTCAATGATAAAATGTCACTTGGGCATTATGTACACCATGGTGTTAACACTGATGTACATGTAGCAAAACTCTTTTGAAGTGATTAAAGGTTTTACTCTCTTTGCTTTGCTTTGCTATGTCAGGCTATGAAACAACGAGATCAAGAGCTAGGGAGAGAAGTTGAGCTTCTTAAGCACAGAATTGCAACGCTCGAGCAGGTTACCAAAGATCAAAGCATTGGTGGTATTCTCAACTTCAAACGAGCAAGTAGCACTGGAAATAAAGCGATGATGGCTTAATCACTCTTAACAAAAGTCTATAGAGATTGGAACACACAAAATATTCATTGATATTTATATAAATAATGCTATTTAGCATCATTTGTATTGAACTAATGGTTTAGGTGTTACTAAGTGACATAAAATAAAAGATTTAATTAAATGGGGAAATAATTTTACCTTTGATTGAACTTGTCTCAGTGTCTCTTTGATGTTGTAACACCATTGGTGTTGGACAGTATTATTCTATTTNAAAGATTTAATTAAATGGGGTAATAATTTTACCTTTGATTGAACTTGTCACAGTGTCTCTTTGATGTTGTAACACCATTGGTGTTGGACAGTATTATTCTATTTATTATTTTATTTTAAATTGCTTGCAGCTATATTTAAGGGCCTACTACCGATGGGCATATTGACAAATAGAGTTGGGCATACTGCATATACAAAAGGATAATATCTAAATCTCACGTCAGGGGATAAAATCAACAAGAACTTATTTGTATTTTAATAATTTTTCTATATGACAGTGATTTGTTTATAAATTATTTTTCATCAATCTTGTTTTTAACCATGCATTCTCAAGAAAAGTGCTTGTTTAATTTAAGGCCATAAAGTGATCGCTTGGGGCGGCAAAGATAGAATGCTTTTGAAACATGAATTATCTACACCTTGAACTGTACTATTGAAACTGTGCTATGAAGATTGATCCAAACCTTTCCAATTTTTGTAAACTTTACCTTAATCTTCAATTTGTACAATCGAAGGCCCCTAACATTTCAAAAATATGCTACTGGGGTTCAAGTATCCATCGATTTGACCGTTAGTAGACCAAAAATCAAATGATTGACCAAATTTTGATCAATATTAAAATGTTAAAATGGTAAATTTATATTTTATATAAGAAAACAATTAAAATGAAATAAAATAATTAAATCAAAAAACCAAACCCTGATCAAAAGGTCACCTTCCCTAATCCACCCAAAACAGAATCGAAGACAATAGCAACTCCACCACCGCCGGCCATCGCCAACAAAACCTTTACTCTTCGAGAAATCAAAACCAAAGCCTTCATCCCTCGAATGAAAAACTTGCGGCCATCGCAACCAAAACCTTCACGCCTCACCTTCGTCTCAATAGAATCCAGCAGCATATCAAAGTGATCGATCTAACTTCACTTTACTCCCAAAGTTCTTATAAATCCATGTGTGTGTGTGAGAGAGAAAGAAGATGAGATTTTGGGTGTCTGGTTTTCTTGGCAAGATCTGGAAAAAGAATGAAAGAAAAAAAGTTGATCAAATTAGCAAATTCGGAGAACCCATCAACGACTTCGTGTCGCCATTATTAAAACTAGGTATCTATAGAATATCGTTCTCGCCCCCGGAGGCCTCAGACAGGGACCGGAGCCCATTTATGGCGAGTCGTCTAGACATCATCAACTACTGTTTTATGGTTGGAGTTCAATTTCTGTAAAACTCAACCAATAACAAGCAACTATAAACATCAGAGATCAAATATGGAGTTCATTCAGCTGAATGAACTGAAATTATAACCAAATAAAATGGAAAATAGAATTGGGGAAGGTAAAATGTTAAAAAGTAAGAAGAATTAGAGAGAGAAAGATGAATTGATGAATCAATTCAGAGAAGAGGAGGAGAAAGCAGAAGAAGAATAGAAACAGCATAGAGGAGAGAGGAGAAAACATATTTATAGAAGGAAGAAGGAGAAAAGAATTCAGGTAAGAGAAAAAGAGAAGCAGCAGGGAAGAAACAACAAAAAGAACCATAGCAAGAACACCCTAAAAGTAAAGGGCTTTGGGCTAGCCTACTAATAATACAAGGCCAAAAGAAAATGCTCAAATTACAAAAGGAACCACAGGAGTTAGCCATGACATCTATTCTCCTTAAATTAACCTTGTCCTCAAGGTTCAAAATCGGGATGTCTTCTTTGTATGCTGTTAGCAGCTGTCTCATTCTCTTCACCACCTTTGGATTAAGCAGGTAGTGCAAGGTGGCATATGTGTGGTTAACATTATCTGCACCACCCTTAACCAGCATTTTTTAATCAACTTCTCACTTTTTGATTTCTAAATAAAAGGGAATCTATAAGGCCTTAGTTTGAATAGTTGTTCTCCATCTTTCAATGAAATATGGTGGTCATGTGATATAGGAGGAGGTAACCCTGTTGGCTTTTCAAACACCTTTGGAAATCTTTTGATGACCTCCAATACTTGCTCAAGCATATCCTCACCCTTCTCCTCCTTGATATGGTATAGTTGTCCAACTATCCCATAAGGATCCTTTCTAAACATTCTTCTCATCTCCTTAATCCCCATCATCTTGGCAGGCTATTCAAACATTCTACTCTTCAATTTTATCACTTCACCATTACTCTTGAACTGGATGCACCCTTGTACAAAATCAAATGTAACAAGTCCAAATTGGCACATCCAATTTACCCATAGTACCAGGCCACTCCCTTTGTTCTTATGTTCTGTATTTAGATCTAAAGACATTTGGGCCATCATGTTCTTATAATCAGTACCCGGAACTATTACATTCATTGCACTGAAGTTTTCTTCATCCTTCTCAACACTTAAATCAAATTCCAACATTTCAAAAACACTCTCCACAATAGTTTCCGTCTCAACAACAAGCTTGGTAACTACAACATCTATATCATCGTCTCTGTTCAAATCGTAAGAACTGGCCTGCTTTACCAGTTTCTCTTCCGGTTTAGAATTTGAATCGTCTATTTACATTTCAGAAGACTCGACTATTTCTGGGTAATGTTGGACTGGTCTTTGGAGGCTGATTTAGCCTCAATAATTTCAGTCATCATTGAAATTAGTAGCTCATGCTTCCAATTGATTTGTTCCATTATGCTCCAATCAAGAGACACCCAAGGACTCTAGATGCTCTGATACCATTTGTTATGGATGGAGCTCAATTTGTGTAAAACTCAACCAACAACAAGCAACTATAAATAGCAGAGATCAAATATGGAGTTCCTTCAACTGAATGAGCTGAAATTATAACCAAATAAAATGGAAAATAGAATTGAGGAGGGTAAAATGTTAAAAAGTAAGAAGAATTAGAGAGAGAANAAGCATAGATCAAATATGGAGTTCCTTCAACTGAATGAGCTGAAAATAAAACCTAATAAAATGGAAAATAGAATTGAGGAGTGTAAAATGTTAAAAAGTGAGAAGAATTAGAGAGAGAAGGATGAATTGACGAATCAATTCAGAGAAAATGATGATAAAGCAGAAGAAGAACAAAAACAATAGAAAGAGAAAACAGATTCATAGAAGGAAGAATGTGAGAAGAATTCAAGTAAAAGAAGAAGAGAGGCAGCAAGGAAGAAACAGTAGAAAAAACCATAGCAAGATCGAGAAGAAGAAGGACCCAGGAGAATAAAGAAGAAGACTGGAGAGGAAACCACAATTCAATTCATCAAATTCATCGTTCATCCAAACTTTACAATACAATCCTATATACAACGCCCTAAAAGTAAATAACTTTGGGCCAGCCCACCAATAATGCAAGCCCAAAAGAAAATTGTCCAAATACAAAAGGTACCACTGGAGTTAGCCATGACATACTGTTGGAGCATCAAATGTGATTTGGGGATTTCAAACATACACTGATACATACTAATTTCACTTTTCAGGTTTTGAGATCTCGAATTTATCTGTTGAATTACTTTTATTTCATA